GGAAATCCGAACANCCCGGTGGCTTCTCTTGGGCTTCCTCGCCATGAGAGTTTAAGTAATTAGATTTATTTTTTTTTCATTTGTACAATTTTTGGCAAACAAACAATAAACAATAAACAATAAACAAAGACTGTTTACAAGTTCCATCGCCACTACGACACTTCCAGATACTGATGCTGAACACAACGGCCAAAAATAGGCTGATTTACAAATCAAGACTTTCTTTTGCTGTTTGTCTGCCTTTCTTTTTACTGAAAACATTTTGACGCCAAAAAGATTTCTATTTCCTTGCATTCGTTAAGATGTCAGTACAAATATTGTTGAGATATAGCAGGGGCACCCAACGTTAAGTTTCGGAAAATATCTGTTCGGAAGACGATTTGAGATCTAGAATTTCGGAAAATTTGTTGTAAAATTTCTTACTGCCTACGTCTCCTAGGATTTTCGAACATCTAAAAAATGGTTTAATTGCCTATTTTTAACGGATTTTTACCCTAAAAAGGTCACCTAGAATTTTCGGGAGCCTTATTTTGGCTGAAATTTTCGAAAAGGTAAGTTTTGATCCCTATAATTTTCGGATCACTAGACTTTCAGCTAGGAAATCCGAACAGATGAAAAAATTTTAGGGGATAAAAATATGCCTATATCTACCGTTTAAATATTAAAATACGTTTGACAATGCTATGTTTAAGTGGTTTTGAACTATATTCTCGTTGGGTGCCCCTGATATAGGAATGATTCGTCATGATTCGGCTAAACTACTAAGCAATGATGCAGTTCATAGTTACAGATTTTCCCTTTCATAAGCCACACTCCCACAGTAAAACTGATGAGTGGTTTGGAATATCGCCGTAACGCGTTTTTATGGATGATATATTATCAGGTTTAAACCAATTATAAGAGCTAAGTAACCGAAAATGAAAGAGTACTCGTCTGGAATTGAAACATTTACAGAACTATATATAAAGCACTACCAGTCGCAATTTGAAAAATTCCTCAAAAAGTTGATTAAACCGTTTGACCTGGTTTTGACAAAAAATGATTATCAAAAGACCCAATCCTGCAAACAGTATTACTTTCTAGCCCTAAGCTAGGCACCAGATCGAACAAAAAGACCCTGTTACCCGAGGTATAGTCTACGTTGCTTTAACCCGAACTGGAATTGTCATGGTGTCAGTTCATTAAAAATACCTCAAGCTGAAAATTTTCGTAATTTCTCAATTCGTAAAAAGTGATCGTTTTCCAAACAGTAGAAAATTGCGTTTTGGTTTAATTTAATGGTTTACAGCTCAACCTAATGAATCTTGCAGAATGCTGACGCAATGAAAAATATATAAAAGGATTTCGCGTGTGACTACCCACCAACATGTAATTATCCGCCATTTTCTTCTACCCTAAACATTTCGTTCTTTGTATCTACAGCGATCATGTAATTATTGAATGTATTAGTGTTTGTTGAATAAGTCAAAAGCGATGAAAATTGAATAAATGTTTTTCTTTCTCCAAATAAGACTGAAGTGGTAGATCCTTTATTTAGTAAAAAGATATGAACCCCTCTGTCAAGTGCTATGTAAACAAATTAACGATGTCATTGCGCTCCTGTGTAGATCGAGCGATCAAAGTTTTTTCATAACAACATAGTGTGAATGTGAAGAAACTCCGTGGGGTTTAAAATCGTAAGGAACTCATGTAAGCATGCTTAGTTTCTCGGCCTGGTTCTTAAGCGTGGTGATGATAAACAAATCACTACCAATATGGTGCTGAAATTCGTTCAACACGATCGACCTACCTGGCATTTGATGGAAATGGTATTCGCTTCACACGCGCTTGTTATGATAAAAAGAATGACAAAAAACTGTTTAGAATTCATTCTTTAGAATCGCTAAGAGAATCTAGTCGCTCTCGTTTCGCTTCCATCACATTTGCAAAGCACGTAGCGGAGTCTTTTGCATTTTCATTTCGCTGAAAACAATACCATCACACGGAAATTGCAGTTCTTGCTAACAATGCAAATTGCAATTTGCATGACAACTAGGATTACTCTCATTGTAATGGACATAGCGGTCCGAGATTAAACAAGACGTTAATTTCTAAATTTAGAAAGACAAAATTTTAAACTCTTCAGCACTTCGTTACAGTGATGGAACGGAATAAAAAATTTTGCCGAAATAAAAAACGAGTATTTTTGCACCAGAAACAAACGCACGGTTAGTTAAGTACTTGCAACAAAAGTTTCGAATAGTTTTGCTTCCTTTGTCTAGAGTAGTGGCCAGAAAATCGGGTTTTTTGGTGTAACAAGTCCTTGATTCTACAAGTTAATCGTCCTCATTCTTGTTAGCTGGTCAGTGTTCTTCTAATTTTGAGATAGCCTGCGAGCAAGCTCTCCTGTTTGGGCGAGTGAAACAGGTCTCGCGAGAACGCGCCAGCGAGCGGCGAAGCCGCGAGGGGCAGAGGATGAAAATTATAAGAGATCGTTGCAAGCTCTCCTTTCCTCGGCCCCTCGCTCGTGCGTTCTCGCGAGGCTCGCTTCGCTTGCCCAAATAGGAGAGCTTGCTCGCAGGCTAATTTTGAGAAGGAGTTGAGGCACACGCAGCTTTAGCATGGAATTTTTAAGGCATTCTCCTTTTCTTGGAAGTATGACAAAGATACTCTAGCTTTCACTGTAGATTATTAAGAATTTCTTACAATCTGACAAGAGCATTTTTTGCTGAAATGATCATGTTCGGTCCCGCAGTTTAGCAGGTGCATTATTATAAGAAGAGAAGAGAGCTTGACTCCATTGCTTCTCGTGGCTTTTGTTCTCATTATTTCTTTTTGAGGGATTTTTACTAGACTGTTTTGGCAAAAACGCTGAGAAACGTCAAAACACACTTTAAGCTACTGTTAAGAACGTGGTCGTACTGGCTACAAGCTTGGTCAATGCTAAAAGAGGTGAATTTATTAAAAGTCTTTTATGCAAGCTGATATTCACGTAAAATTGATGAATCTCTGACAATTCAAATAAAAGTTTTTGACCAATGGTCCAATAACGTATTTACTCGATTAAAGCAGTTTGAAGACTTGGAAGCAAAATTTCACTGAACTTGACCCTTTAAATGGAAACTTCTTGTTTCTGAAATCTGCTCAGTCTTCGTCATATTACGAGTCAAAGTGCTAACGATTATCCTGTCTGCTTTTCGGAGATCAGGCTTTCCCGGCTTTAGAAATAATCGACGCAACGCAAGTGAATTTCATGTATACGTGAGCTTTTTATGAGTCTGTTTGTAATAAGTTGAATGTGTTAGATTAGCTAAGACGACATAATCTTTAAGGCCGTCCTTCATTGTCTGTTAGTACAGGACAAAAAAATTAATCAGCGATATTCTAGCTCAAACGAAAAAAAGCTTCTTATATTAGCCACAACATAATTAATTGCACACAATAGTTCATCACAGTTCTATCAAATACGTTTGCCGGGCATTTTTTCACATAGGACAGTTCATTACTTGTTGCTCCGAAGACGCGTCAAGTACTGTTGCACAATCCTTTGATAAAAGAAAGCCTATATGAAGTCTATTAATGATACCTAACATATGGGTGTACAAAAAACAGGGCGTCAACAAATCCCCAATAACCGTTTGAAAGAAACCGACCAGACAGTACCTCTTTTGTTTCCACGTATTGTGAACGTCTGGCAAAGAAACTGGGTGGGCTAAGAGCAATAACGCGCTCTTTAATGTTACACACACACTTGTTGCATCTAAGAAGCCTGACAAGCTTACCGTCTAGCTAAGGTTTGAGATTTAGGGTTAAGCTGACGTCAGTTAACAACACTTCAGAGGAAATATCCAGTTCCCTTTTCTCGCTTATTTTCACTCTTTAACTTGCACTTTAGAGGTATACATCGTTCTGATCATTAGCAACTTGGCGGAAAACAAAATGATAATTTCGGTGGTCAAAAAACTGTTTCATGAATTTTAAGACACCGACAATCTCATGGGTACCCTTAACAATTTCGGTCGAAACATTAAAGGAACGCGACGGTTCAGATGGAAATTTTCCGGAAAAAGTGATCCACCTTCAGAGGTCAGAACACGAGCTGGCACTTTTAATCAACCAATCAGATCGCCAAGCAAATTCAAGTCGTCGGCAAAAAGGGCGGGAAAAATCTTGTTTTTCTAATGATTGGTTAAGCAAGTGGCGCGAGACTTGTAAGCCAATCAAAAAGAGTAGCTATGCAAACCAAATGCTTAGGGGCCGACCATTTGACTTTTGAGGGGGAGGGGTTATGGATTATTTGGTTTTGGAAGGATGTGTTTTTCCCCTGACATACAAGGCCATTGTATGCCAGGTATTTCCTTGCAAGATTTTTTTCCCCTCGAAATCAGTCTGCAGGATATTTTTTTCTGAAATCACCCTTACCCTGCCTTAAAAGTCAAATAGTCGGCCCGCGAACAGGCTTTAATAAAGGAAAAAAAAACCAACCCACTCACCAGTCACACTTAAGGTTGACAATTAACAGAACCTGGGAAATAAGAAAACACAAAACAAGTCACATACCCAGCGACAGAAATCAAGAGCTTTTATTAATTCTTAATACATATATATTTATTTTTTGTCTAAAAATATGTGTGTTAATTCACAGAAAAGGTCACCAGTCTATGTTAATCGTTAGCGAAGTATATAACTTCCTTTTCAGCATTTATTTTTAAGACAGTTATTTTTCGGTTATGCGCGAGATGTTAGCAGGAAATTTTGAGCAATTTAACAGCTCTCCAAATTTGTTAGAAATTACACTTTGATGAACTTTTCAAAGAAAGGCTGTCTCTGTTATGCTTAGTCTGTTGAAATTTCTATAAGGTAAATGGATTGCAGTTTGGTGGTTGCTACAATAGAGAGATTTAGAATCATATTTACGGCGAACAACAGACGTCAATTTGTAGCATGTGACCAAGTTTTTCCTTTACCCATCGCCAACTCTTTATTATATGTACACAAAAAAATTTATAGTTTCACGCCATACAATTAATACTTTGCCCATTTGTTTCCTGTCCATCTTCCATTTTGAGAAATTGTCAACTTGAATTTGACGTCTGCCGTAAAACTGATTCTTAATCTCTCTGATCCCATTAAAAATGCTAGAAACTAGCGTAAATATGACTTCATTACATCTCCAATAAACTTGACTCACTGGGTGCGAGGGGTGTATGCCGTAAGCATGCGCAGTCAGAGTTTATTCTGAAGAAAGGCATGAACAAGAGGAAACACATCTTTTCTCGTTGCCTTGACATTCTCCTGATCATAAACAAGACAGTTCTCATAACTTTCACTGCATTGCTTTAATTTAAGTTCGGCTGAAGTAGACAAATAATCTCCAATTTGTCCAGAAGCATCTTGATTTGGACCACACACAGCAAGCTGTTTACTTGGAGGTTCATTTAAGCCATCCCCAAAGTAGACAAACATTATAACCAGTACATCCAAGCATGAAGATTCACAATATTCCATTATGTGATGTTGAACTTGTGCTCTTGAAAAGAATTCTTGCAATGACAACCCGCTGACTGCGCTGATGCTGACACTTAAAGCTTCACTACTGTTCTTGGGCAAGACTTTGTAATCTTTCCGTAAAAGATCCGGGGTGGAGATGGCTGACACATCAAATTTTGCTAGAAAATAAGTTTTGATGTGAAGACTTTATTTAGAAGGCAACACTTCACAGTTATAAAAGAACTGATGAACTTGTGGCCCTCTATTAACATAAAATCCATAAAATATTAAAATGATTTAACAATGTTATCATAAAAAGATAAAAATATCAGTTAAATATACGTGACCCCCAATCCCCTCCCTTCACATTCCCTTCTTGCTGAAAGACATTAAGATGCAAGATGCATTGGAGTGAACATGTGAGAATAAGATTATTGACGAGAATAACCTGAGAAAACAGTCAACATTTGGCGACACTACCACTGGTTTCCCCACCAAATGATGCCTGAGAAACGAGCGCAGAAATTCCATACTGATGACGTGTGACTACCCAGATCTTGGTAGTGCTTCTGATTGGTCATGATGAGAAAAAAAGGAAAAATTTCTATATCTATAACTTTTTTAGTTTACTACTGATCTACAAAACTTGACGATATGAACAATAGCAACAGTATGCAACATGGGCTGGGGAAAATATACCTTCACATTAAAAACAAATTGAGGGTAGAGATTACGCTAGGCAGAAGCCTTCAAAATGTTATCCTGACTTCTATTGGAATCCACAAGTCACTATCAGCTACTATCATTCCACCCTGCAATGTGCAGCTAAGTTTTGTGAACTAACCTTTACTGAGACCTGCATACAATTCACCCACTGCGACTGGATGTCGTTCCATTAATCTGCTAACAATTTGTTTGTCTTTGTCTGTTGTTTTACCAGCTCTGGGATCAAGATTAATCGTGTCTAGAAGTATTGTTCCTAATAAGAGGCTGCACATCATATTGTCCAGTATGTCTACAGCCAAGAGCTTTTCAGCCACAAGAGTACAGCAGGATCCCACTAGCTCAATAGTCTTGTTGACTTTCAGTTCAGCTGGCCACATATCTCGATGATGGTCTGAAAGATATCATAGCTTGTGTACAGACGCCCCCTCCCCTCAAAAAAAAAAGAGAAGGAGGGGAGGGTGCATTTGAACACAGGTTAAGATATTATTGTTATAAAAAGAAACAAAATTCTCAAGTTAACCTCTTACTCATACAACATCATGGACATATTAGCTAGAAATAACCAACTAAAGACTTTCTCACCCTGCCAGCAAAGTGTTTCTTTTGCTTGCTCAATTTTGGTGTACTGGAAAAAGACTGCATGAATCAGGTAAAATCTTGTTGAACATGCTCAGGGGTGGATCCGGGATTTTTCGTAGCAGGGGGTGCACCACTAAGGAATGGCATAACTGACTGGTGAGGTCAACAAATTTTAAAAGGGAATATGAAGAAGAAGGCTTTTGACTAGGCAATAACATAATGTGAACTGCTGAGAATACATATCAAACAATACAGCAGATTTTTTTGCAGAATACCAGTTGTATTAGAAAGCCACAGGTCATCTCGTGGGACGGGGGATGCACACCCCCAGCACCGTCCCCCTAGATCTACCCCTGATGCTCTGCATGTTGCTGGGATACAGTTATGAACATAGGCCAGATAGTTGTATGCATGGTACAGCAGGCTGACCATAAGCACCACCAACCTTTCAAAACAGACTGATACTAGGAGTGAATTCTCTAAACCTGTTTGTAAAGGGCAGAGCTTACTTACACACTCACCTAAAATTTCAATGACAGTAGTCTCCAAATATTTCTGTGCTTGGGCTAAAACATTATGGTCTACCAAAGTGAGTTTCAGTTTCTTTGTTTCCATCAAGGTTTCTAGCTCTATATCTTCTATAAATGTGAAGAAACCGAGATCAAGATGAAATTGTTTGAATAGGAACACTGCTTCTGTTCGCAGGCAGAAATCTTCCCTTGGTATGTTGAATACAGGAACAACAGCTGTTTGTTTTGCTGGAATATTAGACAATGTCTTGCAAGAAAGAAAACTAAAATCAGATTCCTTAGCATTGTTAGAAATACATGTATGATAATTACTGTTAAATTTGTTGACTTGTTGGAATCGATGTGTCTCACTTAACATGTTAGATCACCCACATCCAATTCTGATAATTATCAAAGGAAGACCTATTTTTGATTGATATATCTCTGATCATTGCTCTGTGTTGTGCAGACTCTGTGCTTCCAGACCACTGCATGCTAGCAAGATATTTGAAATTTTGGACAAACATTGTTTAGAGATCCACTGTCTTTGTAAATGAGTAATAGTCAACTCTAACGATGATAAAACTGAAACAGATTACTTATAATTATGGCCTCCTGGAGTATCAAATTAATAAGCTACAGCCTGTACAGAACATGTTTGCAAGACTTACATGCAGTGAAAGTAAATAAATTATTGTTAGATCACTCCTTTATTAGGTGGTTTAAATTGGTTGCCTGTAAACTTTAGAATTGAATTTTAAAAAATCTTCTTAATAATGTTTTTAAGATTTTTAAGAGTTTGGCATCTTCTTACCTAAGTTCATGGGAGGGGGGGGGGGGGCAAGGTACAAAAAATATTCGTGCAAGGAAAAATTGTTTAAAACAAGTTGTGAGAACATCCTCAAGTCTCTCCCCACCTCCCCCTCCCTTCTCCAGGTGTTCATTTTCCTGCACAGAACACCGAAAACAGAAATTACGATTGGGTGTACCATAGGCAGTCCAGTAATAAATTACAGTAATTTACGCATTAGGTTAGGCACATGAAAAGTTCGACATTTGAAACCAAGTCACTCCTCAGTCCAAATTCCCATGTGGGCCACTCAAACATAATTTAGGGGTTGACCCAAATTAGATATGTTGGACTTAATTGATTTAAATGTCAATTGTTTGATGTAATTAATTGGAGGGATTAGGTTTGGTACATGAAAAATATTAACGTTTGAACTGTTCCTTAACTGCTTACGGTTACCTGTCTTATGCACAAACCATTAATCCTTTGAAAAATCATTCTTAAGAAATAAAAATATTTTTGGTCCCAATTTTATCTCCTTATATAAGGAACATTTTATTGTTACATTTGTTTCCATGAACAGACATACCTTAAAAATGGAAAATGCATAAATGAGCGATGACACCATTGAGTCAAGATCACAAGCCTCATTTCCTAAGACAACATGAACCTCATTGAACTTGGTGAGATTCTTCAAGGAGACCTTTATAAATGAAGGACCGAAAAAAAACCTTTAGCAAACTTCCATTAATTTTGTGGTAATTTGTTACAGCACAACCACTTCCTTTGTCTTAACAAGTGTTATGCAAGTATAGCGATTGGACAATTTTACTGTATAACTCACAAAGCTACTCAGACTATGCAAAGGAATCAAGTTAGTAATGACAACTTGGAACTACACATATCATGACTTAGAAATTGCATGCAATTTATCCTTTATTCTCTTTCAGAAAGTAGATGTGTCTGAACCTCTTTTGTGGTTCGATTATCCTAATCGACCACTCAATCTTCAAATTTTTGGTGGCCTTTAAGGGATGCTCCACTGTATTATACTACAACATGAGAAATTTCTGCAATTTGATTGGCTTAGAGCAGTGGTATTTCAGCTTAGGCTATGAAGCTGTAAAATTCGCTGTGGCTATACGGCCGGTAACCGGTCAAAGTTTTCAAAACACTAAATGACCGGCAGTCCTATATTCTCAGTAAATTTCACAAAATCGAAAAAATCCTAGCTAATCTAAATTATCATATTTTGATTAAGAAAAGTCAAGTGATCCTGAAATACCTTGTAGATCTCAAGTTTAGCGTTTGGTTTACGCTGGGCTCAGAAGACGAAACCATGTTTTGTGACACTTAGAACTTTTTTCACCTCAACTGCCGGTCAAGGTTTTTAAACTGTTATACGTCGATAAAGAAAGGTCAGTCTAGTGTTTGGTTTTGCACTTGGCTCAGAAAACGAAACCACGTTTTGTGACATAGAACTTTTTTTCGGCTCGACTGCCGGTCAAGGTGTTGAAAACACTAAATGACCGGCAGTCCTATATTCACGGTGCATTTCGCTTGACTTTTCTTAATCGACATATGATAGTTCGGTTTAGCTGGATTATTTCGATCTGTGAAATTCAAGGAGAATATAGGACCGCCGGTCATTTAGTGTTTTGAAAACCTTACCGGCAGTCAAGCTGAAAAAAGTTCTAAGTGTCAGAAAACATGGTTTCGTCTTCTGAGATCTTTTGAGCCCGGCGTAAACCAAACGCTATTCTTGAGATATATAAAGCATTTCAGGATCGCTTGACTTTTGTTAATCAACATATGATAGTTTGGTTTAGCTGGATTTTTTTGGATTTGTGAAATTTACTGAAAAGACAGGACTGCCAGTCATTTAGTATTTTGAAAACCTTGACCAGTTACTGGCTATATAGCCACAGCATTTAAAATTAGCTGTCATAACATATTTTGGGTCAATGTGAAATGATAAAACTTTTTTTCCGTCCCTCCAGAGTCAGTGACGAAAACAGACAACACGCCACGAAAGCTGAAGTAAACGCTTTAAGCACAAACTTACACTTATCTTAAACACACTAGTTGTCTCTCCTTCGTGTCCTTTCGCTCACTCCTATTGCCCTGGGCCGGGTTGTTCAAAGCTGGGTTACAGGGAACTCAAGGTTAGTGCGAAATTTGAATTCAGATGTTCTGTCAACAGGTTAATGATTGGATCCCGGGGATTGGATGCTCTTAAAAAAGACAGAGAAAATTATCCGAGAAAATGCTTTTGAACAAATTTAACCCTGGACTAGCGCTGATTGGCCTCGAACAACTGGGCCCTGATGTTCTTGAACCAATACACTAAACTCCCCGACAACTATCCGGTTAAAGCTTCGAAATACTACATTATTTGCTAACCTGCAAGTAATTATTGACTTGTAAAAATAATTCAAAGCATAGCTTGTGTATACGATTAAGAAAGATCGAAACAAAGCAAAACAAAACACAACATCATAGTACCTTCGAATGCTTTAGAAAATCCTCCATTTTGAATTTTGCTTGGCGGCTGCGCGGTCGTCTGCGCGGGAAAAAATAACTAGTGCTCAGTCCCTCACAGCAGCTTAAGCAGTCGACTTTTTTGGTCGACTCCGCTGGACCCGAAAAGCTCAGGAAAGGAGGCCCGTAAGGGATGGGAGGCCAGGGAGGGCGGGTTTCAACACCGGCTGAGGTATACACAATCTCCCTGACAAACTCCTTTTGGCTGGATTAAATTCAAACTCAGTGCCCTGGCTTTTTTTCTCGCCGCTTCGCCGCTCGCTCGCATGTTCTCGTGTGGCTCGCTTCGCTCGCCCAAACAGGAGAGCTTGCTCGCATGCTCGCCTCCTCTACGCTTCATTCATGTGATCGGGAGAAATGAGTAGTTTGCACCTTTTGATCCCATGAGTTCAGTGTACGGGAAGAAAGATGAATAAAGATTTCTTAGCTTACCACTACGTTTTTGAATAGTGTCGACTTCTGCGTTTTTGTACGTTTTTCTTCCAAATCTACACTCCGTTCTCATTAGAATACCGTAAAATTCCGAAAATAAGCCCCGGGGCTTATATTTTTCAAAGGCCCTTTTTGAGGGGCTTATATTCGGAGGGGCTTATATACAGAGGGAAATTTGCGTTTCAAAACCGATTGGGCTAGCCTTGTAGTTGGAAGGAAATTTACCGTTTTTGCTTGTTTTTACTTTGTATTTGAGGGCAATTTTCCAAGTACAAGCCCCCGGGGGCTTATATTTGGAGGGGCGATTTAACGGAGGGTTTTTTTGCCTTACCGGTTTGGGGGGCTTATACATGGAGGGGCTTATTTTCGGAATTTTACGGTATATTTTGATTTTTTATAGGAATTTCGAGGCTGAAATTCGTGAAATTTTAAGAATAACCCCCAGGCTGAGATTTTTAAAAGCATACAATTTTGTGTATTGAAAATCTTGAAATACTCCCTGATACAATTATAGGTTTTTAAATTATTTCTTTCTCTAAACGGCAAACCTAGCCAACAAAACGCAAAACAACATTTTTATAAAAGTAAAACTAAGTGTAGCCAAGATTTCATTCCTTCAAAAAAAGGCTCAATATAGGGTCGGAGTCATTGGTTAAATAACTGATTGACAATTTTTAAATGAGTAAAAAATAAGTGGATATGTTTAAGACTGTGAAAAAGGGGTTAAATAGTGGATTGGGGGTTGCTGAAAATTAGAATATTAAGGGAATAAATAGTAGATAAATACCAGGAAGTCCATCCCCACAACAAGGTGTCCCTATGCTCATTAGAATAAAAACATATTTTTTAGATTTTCATCACTCAAAATCATCATCCTCTTAACTTCCAGATCTCAGCCTCGATATTCTTATAAAATATATTCTTACAGAAAAAAAAAGGGTGTATGATAACATTTAAAAATACACATATATATATATATATTTTTTTTTGGGGGGGGGGAGGGGGAATCTATAATATGAGATGTCTATACTTCTGACGTTCTGACGTACGACTCCATTCGTCTAACCTGCGGCACTATCTTAGTTTCGCTTGGTAAGTAAAAATCCGGCGAGTAAAGCGAAATGAAAGAGAGTCTGATACAACCTTCTATGAAACTTTCGTAACGTCCGTGCACTATCACGAGTCACGACAAAGAAGCATGACACTGACTCATCGTGTAACACTTCGCGAATGCCGGGAGAATGTAGAGAAACAGGAAATTAAAGCGGAAAACAACAAAATCTCTAAATGTCGTGCTCACCAAAAATAATCTCGTAAAGTTAGAGTTACTTTACTCAAACTTTATTTCAACAACATACAGTACAATGGAGGTAAAAGTATTGAAAGGGAAAGAATACTCAAAAAGTGCTGCAAGACCATACTAGAAGGAAACCCCAAACTACCTATTAATCCTATATTTACATATAGCTGATTCAATAAAGGTTAGGAATTGGAAATTGGGTATTGGGCATTTGCGCATACCAAACAATGCAATGATAAAGTGACGACCAAACAATTGCTCCCTATTGCCCATTCCCAATGCCCAAAGCAACCTTTATTGAACCAGATGCATACAAAGGAATTCCAAAACTCGATAGAAATCTAGAAACACTATATACTAGCCTACATAAATAGAATTCAAACACTTGCTAAAAATCTAGAAACCCTCTGATATCATGAGGGAGCCGGACGATTCCAAATGTCCAACTATTCGTATATTCATGAAACTATGGATTTGGAGTATCTATACTTGCTATACTGTACAAACCTTCTGCTAACTATCTTCTCCATTCCACAGTTCTTCTCACTGACGTTAAAGGTGACTTATAGGGACCAAAAACAGGCTATGTCAAGCATTGCTATCTTTTAAAGAGCTAAAACGGTTCAAATGAATTCCACAAATAATGACCCAGGTTTGATATTTAAGACTATATTGTTTCCTGCCGTCTGTTGCATCCAGCTGTTGCAACGGATGGCAGGAACAGATATGGCTTTGAAACATGACCAAAATTGGGCCATGTTTTCAAGTTTTAGAGGTTTGCCTATGAAAATCACCAAGTAAGTGTTATATTTAGTTCTCTTATATGAAAGAAGATCATCGCAGTTAGAGACGCAACTCTTTTGCTGTTGCGAAAAGAAAGCCTGAATTTTTTGCACGGACTTTTTTTTTTCAGACTTTCTTTTCGCAAGTGCAAAAGTTGCGTCTATAACTGCGATGATCTTTTTTCATATAATTCTTCACCCCGCAGAAGTCATATATGATTTTCATGTATTCATAACTTCAGTTAGTTCTCTCTGATGAAATTTGTTTGATATCTCCTTCATAACTCTACAGGGCATTATGTGTATGGGTTAATGCAGTAAGGAATGATTTTTTAGCGCAAAATTGATGCAAAACAGTAATATCTTCGTGACATAAACGTTTCTGCTTACAGGTACGGGCAGGCGAACATGTTTACAACGTTGAAATATTTAAAAGGTAAACTTCTGGATCTACACTACTTGTGCCAGCCAAGAGAGTCTATTTAATTTCATTTATTTTAAAAGCGATTATGGCTTCCCAGATGTGGCAATGGCATCGTCATTCTACCTTGTAGCTTGGCTGGCTTGGCCGTTTCTCCGGGGTAAGAAGCGGTCTGCCCATATTTACGGCTACGCGCACGAGTCACACCCGTACACATACACGAAAACGGC